GCAAATTACTGAAGTTTACAAAAATAACTTTCTTCTTCAATGGGTTGCTAAAAATATATATATATATATAATAAAAGATTTTTTTTTTTTTTTTTTTTAAAAAAAAAAAAAAGAAGCCAAGTGGCAAGTGGCATTCTAGCTGAGCGCCAGGCACTTAAGCAAGACAAGTGGCAGCTGGCACCACAAGCCGAACGCCAGACACTTGCTAAAAATTTAAAGAGTGGCAAGTGGCATTCTAGCCGAGCGCCAAACACTTGAGCAAGATAAGTGGCAGCTGGCACCACAAGCCGAACGCCAGACACTTGCTAAAAATTTAAAGCCAAGTGGCAAGTGGCATTCTAGCCGAGCGCCAGGCACTTAAGCAAGATAAGTGGCAGCTGGCACCACAAGCCGAACGCCAGACACTTGCTAAAAATTTAAAGCCAAGTGGCAAGTGGCATTCTAGCCGAGCGCCAGGCACTTAAGCAAGACAAGTGGCAGCTGGCACCACAAGCCGAACGCCAGACACTTGCTAAAAATTTAAAGCCAAGTGGCAAGTGGCATTCTAGCCGAGCGCCAGGCACTTAAGCAAGATAAGTGGCAGCTGGCACCACAAGCCGAACGCTAGACACTTGCTAAAAATTTAAAGCCAAGTAGCAAGTGGCATTCTAGCCGAGCGCTAGGCACTTGAGCAAGACAAGTGGCAGCTGGCACCACAAGCCGAACGCCAGACACTTGCTAAAAATTTAAAGCCAAGTGGCAAGTGGCATTCTAGCCGAGCGCCAGACACTTAAGCAAGATAAGTGGCAGCTGGCACCACAAGCCGAACGCCAGACACTTGATATAAAATGAAAAGCCAAGTGGCAAGTGGCATTCTAGCCGAGCGCCAAGCACTTGAGCAAGAAGAGTGACAGCTGGCACCGCAAGCCGAACGCCAAACACTTGCCATAAACAAGCACACGACAGAGTTAATATAAAAGAAAAGAGAGAAAAGGTATAAATGTATTGAAAATAGGTTAAACAGAGCACAACACAAAGGGAAAAGGGAAAAAGAGTTCTGTCATTTCATTCATAATAAGCATTGAGTTTACAAAAAATGAGATATTCAAGTCACATTGTTACAAAAAAGTATGGAATCGAAGAGTCCGGAGGAGTCCTAGCTAGCTGCCTCAGTACCGACAGCATCCTGGTTGTGCCGACCCGCCTCCTCGGTCCCATCAGCCGTCTCACCCTCACGAGGTGGGGAATCAAGATGAATGACAGAATCATTCTGCTGGGGTTCAACGTCAGCAGTGGCTATGGGAGGTACCACAGTTGACGATTGAGGAGCGGTTAGAGACAGAGCGGTAGGAGGAGCTGTAATGATCCTTGAGGAAGCAATGTCCTGGCACTCATCAAATATGCGCTCCGCTTCGGTGGGTTCTGGGTCAACATAGACCCCCAGAGGGTCGATCCCTAAATCCTTGTCGACCTCATCTGGAGTGGAGCTGGTCTGTCCCTCATCCGAAACTCGGTCGGAGAAACCTTCTCGGAATCCTTGAGCATATCTAAGAGCGCCGACCCTTGAGAACCGAGCATGAAGAGCCAGCATCCCACCGTTCACTCTGCTGATTGTATCAATCAGAGCGGTACGCTCGTCCAGAGCTCTCTTCTCAAAAGCCATCCGAGCAGACTGTTCATCAGCCAGAAGGCGCTGGAGCTCTGCCTTTTCGTCTCTGATTGAGTCACGCTCAGTCTGCCAGACGCTCTTTTCCAGTTGGAGGGCATCATTCTCATCCTGAAGAGAGTCGTTCTCCTTCTTCAGGACATCTCTTTCTTGTTCAGTTTTTAGTACCTCGGTATTTTTGCTGGCAAGAAGGTCGTTTTCTTTATTGGCCACCTCCAGGCTATCAGAAAACTTACGAGCCCTGGCGTTCCCCATCTCTACCTGCTTCTGCATAGCCATCATTCCGAACAAAGTCTGCATAGATGTACATTAATAACGGTTAAGCCAATAGTCGGGTCGGGCGAAGGCAAGACCAAATAATATGAGAGAATTCATAAGTTGGAAAATAAAAGTCACCTCCATGGCAGATTGGGGAAAGCGGCTGAACACATCCTTCTGGGATAGGCCTTTCGCCGCCTCAAGGTCTTCCGGAGTCCACATGCTCCTATAGTACGCCATGGCGGTTTGGCCATCCTTCAGCATGGTCTCGTTCGGTTTCACGAACGTCCCATCCGTTCGGGTGTACCGAGGGGCCCATGGTGGTAAAGTGGGCAGAGAAGGGGAGCCTGAAGCAGAAGCAGAGGCACCAGCTACAATAGGCCCGGAGGGGGCAGGAGCCCTGACCGAGCGATGCAAGAGAGCACCCGGCCCGGAGACCCGGGTCCTTCTTATGAGAGGTTCCTCCTCAGGATCGACTCCACTGTCAAGATGAGGCCTTTTGCCTCGTTCTTTGTCCCGAGCGCCCCCCGCGGCAGCAGGGGCTGTGGTAATTTGGGGAGACGCGCTCGGGTTGGCAGCAGGGGTGCTAACAACAGAGTCAGTAGCCACCGTGCTCGGGATAGTGTCAGAGATGGTGGCTGAGGAAGAGGCTGATGCAGGAGAGGAGGTTGCCCCAGCAGCAGGAGTGGCTGGGGGAGTATTTTTCTTCCTGCCAAAAGAAGGAATCTGAAGCCTGCTCATGTTGTAGCCGAGGGATGAGAGCGCTAGGAGGTTGTTTGAAGTGAGGAGGTCTGAGCAGGAAAGAATATCGTTCAGAACGTATTTCTTCAAGTAATTACTCCTATCCCTGCAAACACTGTAGCTCAAGTCATCACAAGGTATTCCTAAGGAGCGGCATAAGAAAGTACAAAAGCGGGGAACGCATGTTTCGCAGGGGCAATCATGTTTGTGAGATTTGAATTTCTTATATGAGGAAACAGAACAGACGCCAAAGGCGCTCGGGATTTGGTAACCCTCTGCAGCCGGCGAAGACCAAGCCCCACTAATGCCCACGATGTTATCCCTCCAACCCTTTTCAGATTTTATTGTGTCCGTACATATGGACATCTTCTCGAACGGGTAGAGGTGGTAGAAGGGCTCGTTAGTTCGGATCTTACTGACCTTATAACACAGAAGAAGATCTATGAGGTCAAGGTCCAGACTTCTGTCACGAATCAACAGAAGCATAACAGATATGATTCTAAAGAAATTGGGGTTTACCTGCAGGGGGGATATCCCCAGTCTATTGAAGACATAACTAAAGAAGGGGTGCAGAGGGAACCTAACGACATTCAGTTGAAGGTTCGTAAATAAAACTTCGCCGGGCAGGAGGCCGGCACCGGTCATAATATTAACATCCTTAGGGCAAACCCTAACTTCGATGTCGTCAGGAAGTCTAAGTCTCATACGAAGAACATCTAGATCTACAACCATGGTAGAAGTGTTTGGAGGATCTAAAAGGGGTAAAAAGAAGCCTGCCGAAAGTAAAAAGGAACAAAACTAACCTCTGAGGTAGAGAGCAACAAAGAGCACTGCAAGATCGCTGGAAGAATGACTCTTGAAGGATTTCACCAGAAAAAGCTTAGCACTGTTCTAAAAAGAGAGAGATTTGACTGATGATGGAGACGGTAAAAAGGCGTGAAGTGGTATTCTAGAGCCTTATAAAGGCGAGGGGGACCCGAGGGCCGAAGCGTCAGGAAGGCGAGAAATTCATCGAGCCCCGGAACATTGATTCTGGATCTAACCGTCCGTTCCCCCACGTGGTTTTCTCGAGCCGTCAACGTCATGATGAGACGCCATCAATAATTACCCCCTTATTAAATAAGGGGCAATTATGGGGGCAGTTGAGGAGGCCCAGGATGACATGGGCCGGATATGACTTGCAAACACGACATCCGGTCTGTATAGCTGGATCGGCCCATAAAAAGACACTGCCATATGGGCCGAACGCGAATAAGCCCATCAAAGGTGACCAGGACTTATGGAGGAACAGACCCAGATCCAGCAATCCGTCAATATTTGTAAATATCTATAAATAGGAGAAGGAATGGAAAGAAAGGGGGGAGATCTTTTTGTTGAAATGTAAGAATTCTAGAGAGAGAAAGAGAGTATGAATTTCTTGCATCTTCAAATTCCATTATCAAGAAACGTTGTATCTTACTTAGATGCTCCAGTCACTGATAGGAAAGTTTATAGTAAGAATAATAGATCACCTTCTGTCATCAATTAGCACAAGAGAGACACGGGAGGACTAATATAACAATAGAATGCAAAGAGCAATTAGCTTATAATCATGGGATACCAATCTAGATACAGAGGTAAAATGAACTCAGAAGGAAAAACAAAGTTGAAGATAATGAATTGTATTGTCAAGAATTAGAGAAAATAAACAAACACAAAATTATAACAAAAAGAAAAACAAATTGAGCGCATATATCTATTTATCAAAACAACATTCTGCCAGGAAAATAAATCTTGTATGAAATTGAATTTGACGACAACTATAGGAATAAAACAAATAAACAAATTAGAGCCAATAGATGTTAATATGCATCGAGGAAAATAATACCAGAAAAAACATTATTGAGTCCTGGAATCTGCATACATACATACTCCTAGTCTTATTTTTCTTTTTCACAATGTGGAGGAGGTGAGGTCAGGTCGAGTTTATTTTCTAAATCCGTGTGAAACTTCTCTCTTGTCCCAGTCTAAATTATTTGATAATTTGACCAAGCAGTATCCACTCAATAACATTACCAACTTAGTATATACAAGGATCCACTCAATAACATTACCAGCATACTAGTATATAAAAGGATCCATTCAATAACATTACCAACATACTAGTATATATAAGGATCCACTCAACAACAGTACCATTATACTAGTATATATATATATAAGGATCTTGCTCTATTTCAAGATAACAGTAAAATTAGTACATCCGAAAGAAACAATGCATGGCGCCAACAGAAATCGTATGCATACATAATTGTACCATAGATTTGCTAGTACTGTAAGTTAGCAAAATAAAGAAAAGGGCTTCCTTCAAATTTTTTCATTGCTGAGCTGCAGGGACAATCCATAGAGAAGGCAGTTGAATGTCCAAGTCATAATGATAAATTGGAGTGATGTTGTTATCTTCAAAGTTGAAGACACCCAAATCATGAGTATCTTCGAGTAATTCAGCATTGGGACAAGTGAAGTAAATGCAATTCATGGCCAACCCGGGGAAATCAACGGGAGAGACAGAGATAGAGTCATTAAGACCGATGAACAATGCCCTATCGGGGCCTAAGCTAGGTAGGAGTAGCCAGTCCATGTTAACAAAGTCTAGCTTATACACATCAAAAATAATTGTCTTCTTGGGACGTGAACTATCTTGAGTGATAATTTTAGGTTGGTAGTTGCCGTCATCATCTACATTGTGATTATAGTACCTAACAACCATCAACAACTCCCCTGAAGACTCCACTAGATAACGATCAGGGTGCAAAGCTTGTCTTAGCCAGTGGTGGTCCCTTATTGTGGGGTGTAACAAAGGAGGCCAATGAGAAATGATGAGAGTATTCTTTGGAGAGGCAGGGTTGCGGAGATCCCAAAGCTTCTACAAATTCATGATGCAAGGCATAGAATTTTTGGTCCTTGCTGAAATATATGACATACCCCTTCTCCTTTTAAGGCAGTCCAAGCGGTGTCCCCAATTTTGCAAAATGCGAGTTTGTATTCCTGGTAGCCTTGGATGGCCATCACAGTGCAATCCGAATCCAAAGAAGAGTTGCTTTCATTAATGTGGTTAGCATTACGATTGATGATGTCTTCATGATGAAGGTGATGATGGGAAGGGAAAGGGGGCGGGGATGAGGATAACACGATTTTCTGAAAGAAAGGGGCCTCACTCAGATTTCGAGATGATATGGGCTTCTACTTTCTCCAAATGTTGAACTCCGTAACAACATTGTTTGTATTATCTATGGATGAAGAAGAAGAAGCAGAGGTGTGCCCGTGAGTACTGGAATTGTAGCGGAGACATGACATGATACAAAGGAGGGTTTGAATAGGAGGGAGAGGGAGGTAGGGGAGATAAGAGTGGATGAAAGGGTTGAAAAGGTAGAGAGAGCAATTGCGAGGGTGGATGAATGCGAGCCAACCACGAGACGAACCGAAGCAGATGGCCTCGTCCGGAGGAAGTATTTCCCTTTGCCATGGAAGTATAAGCCTAACATTCTTCCTCATCTTCACAACTTTCTTCTCTCTAAAGCTAAAGAATTGGTAATAATTCCTCTCATCCTCCATTTTTACGAGCTTATACCTTTCACCGCCTTCAGCAACCAAACCAGAGCCGGCAGGAAGCATCAGACACGGTGCTGATCGAAGAGGGAGGGGTACTCTTAGTGCCTCCTCTTCGTCAGCTACTCCTACATCTACATCTTCTGCTGCTGCTGCTGTTGCTTCAGCAGCAGAAAGAGAGAGAGAAGAGAAACAACGGTGAATCGAAGAAAATGACGCACCTGTTTTCAAGACTCCGACTGATCCGCCTCCAAGACGAGGGACAAAATCCTCCGAAGCTGATCGGACGGGACAGAGCAAAGCACCACCAACACCATCGCCGCCACATGTGCAGTGATGAAATCCGGCCGTATTCGAACAATTCCACCGTGTTTTTAGGATTAACCGGTGGCAAGATATTAGACTCCACTTCCGACCGCCAAAACAACTCCAACTACCCATCTCCCTCTCCCACTCTAAATATATAAAACACAAAGTGAAAAAGATATTAGATTCCACTTTTTAACCTTTACATTTGAATCGTAACTAAAATGTCAATTCCAATTATAACTTTTCAAAAAAATAATTATAACTTTTTAAATGAGGCAACCGAAGATTTCTTTTCCTTATCCTTAATCTTTAACATTTTAAATCTCTTTTCACAAGACTAAAAAAAATAAAATTTTGAATAATTTTTTTACGAAATCAAAAGGAAAAAAAAATTATATTAAATAAATTGTCTCTTTTAACCGGACAAAAAATAAAAAATAACCATTAAAAATTATTTCTTCTGACATTAAAAAAAATTCGCAAAAACATATTTACTGAAGAAAGTATCTCTTTGTATGAAGATCTAAAAAATACCGAAAAGAAGAGGATTAAAAAATATATATCTATATTGAATAAATCATCTCTTTTGATAAGACCCAAAAAAATAAAATTATTTTTATGTAAAAAATTATTTCTTTTGACAGGACCCATAAAAAATTACAAAAAAAAAAAAGTTAACTTTGTTTAATAAATATCTCTTTTCGATTATACCAAAAAAAAAAAAAATCACTATGGAATAAATTATCTCTTTTGATTGTCAAAAATAAAATTATTAGTATGGAATAAATTATTTTCTTAGGACCTCCAGAAAAAACAAAAAGAAAGAAAAAAAAAATAGTAAAGAAGGTAGGGAAAAAAAAAAAAAAAAGTTAAAATTGTATAAAGGGTAATTATGACATTATAATTTAAGGGGTGATGCATTAATGAATTCAAAGACCTTTTTGTTATTTCCTTTAGAAGAAAAAAGAAAATCGAGTGCAATTGGACAAAAATGAAGTCCAAATATCGCCTCCCATTGAAAGATTCTTACAAAGTTAGAAGTGTAATTATGAAAAGATTACATTTAATTTGGTTGCCACAATCCAATTTCAATGAGATTTTATTTATTTATTTTTTTTTTTTTTGGGTGGGGGATATTGAATCAATTTCGAAAAAAAAAAAAAACGAATTATATACCATTGATTATTCTTTTTTCTTTTTTCTTTTTTTAAATATCTTCTATATATTGTATATTACAATTATTTGACATTTTTATTTTTAATAGTATTGGTCAACTCAAATATAATCTATTGTCATTTTTGTTGATATTGATGCTAAGGTTCGAATACTACCACATCCAAAATTAATTGTATCATTTGAAAAGTGAAAAGCAAAAAAAAAAAAAAAAAAAATGTTATCTTTTTATTATTACCTTTTTAAATTTTTTAAACTTGATAATATACATTTTAAAACTTAATAGGATATTTTAAAAAGTGACAATACATTAATTGCATGTTAATTAAAAAAATTAAAAATAAAATGTGAACACCTAATACGAAGGAATGGAGTAATTGACATAAGTTTCCACACTTTGTCACATTAAGTGCATCCAATTTTTTGGCTCAAATTTTTGAGAGTTTGCTAAACTCTCAATCAATTAAAAATAACGATCCAAACTATTCTTAAAGTGAACCCATCAACTATTCAAAACTCAACATGAGGCTCACATGGACTTTGTATCTATGCACCAAAACTAGGGGTGACAAAGACACGACACTTAAACGACACGAGTTTTGGATGAGGATCTTGGTCCAATCCAAACACAAGGTTAGACACCTAAACTATTGTTAAACAATACCCCTTAATCTGGTGTCATGTCAAATGCCACCATAAAGATGAGAACGTTGCAAATTTGGGCATGGATAGAAGAGAATGTTAGAGATTTTTGTCACTCTTTACATTAAGACATCATAGATAATTAGATATTATCATTTAATTATTTAATAAGAATATTCTTATTACATCTCAAAAATAATGATGATACAGAATTGGTGTATTGAATTTTTGTTTCTCTTTTTGTCAAATAGAGTAATCAAAAGATAAAAACTTTTAACTAGGCATGTATATTTTAGTAACAAAAATGACTCGAGTCGCTAAGCCAGTATTTTATTACTCCATCAGGTGGGGGTTGTGAAGATTTATCTGACCTGAAGCAAATTAAAATTGGTCTAAGTTGCACTTATAATACCTCGTAATTTTATATGGTTTGGACTGGGCCTTGATTTAATTTGTATACATATTTGGTTGGTTTTGCGCTTACTTGGCCCAACTAACTCCACTCAATGTGCAGTCCATTAGGCAATGTTACTTGCAATATGGACTTAATGATGAGAGGTCCGAACATTAATCCTATTGTTGTCACGGACCTCGTGACAACCACCCAACCACCCATCCTGGTATGGAATCTATGGATGATTGAAGATTATCGAATTCAAGAAAAATGATTACACTTGTGCAATAGATAACAATGTATCAAAACAACACAGAAAAGGATGAACACAGTTATTCAAGCAAAATCTCCACTGAAATGTACGAAACAGTCATATTTTCACACACTGTCAGGAAATCTTTTTAACATGAACTTAACATCTTAACATACAACATAGCGCAGGGGAATTACAAAGCATAACCAGTTCCACTATGGACCATATGTTTTAGAACAGAAAATAGGACGAACCGAGAACAGATGTGTGATTTTTACCAAGGTTGCACCCCCGAAGGCACTCCAGATCCATCACCTGAGAGTGATCCACAAAAAGGTTCACCTGAAATCCAAGCCAATAATATAAAAAAAATGTTACAAACATCAGAGAGATAACAACCAAATGCCCCAACAGAAGAAAGGGTTGAATGGAAAGAGTAAACTACCCTGGGACCATATTGTGTAATGAACCACTCAGAGGTTTTGGAATTTGATGCTTCAAACATCGTCTTCTCAAGTCCAAGACGCCCAACAATCTTTGCAATAATATCCGCCCGTACAGAATCAGCTTGCTCGCAGACATCATCAGCATCAATCATTATCATGTCGGCTCCAGCTTCCAAGCATCTCTCGGCCATTCTGACCAAAAGATCAACATCCTCAACTATTTCTGAGGGCAAAAAGTAACAACCATCAGGTAACACAAGGCATGGATGTAGTCCGTTACCCCCGTTTTTTTTCCTCGCAAGTATATTGTTCCCCTGAACGGGAAACCACGTGGACTTGAATGCATCTCTCTTCTCAGTTCTCTCTTAACAATCCATAGCAGTCAAGTCATCTTCCTTCTCCAGACTTCCAAGCATACATCCTCACAAAAGTATATCAAATTTGTTCCATAAAATTGCAAAAGATCTAATAACTTCTTGAGCACTTTTAAGTCATAAATTTTAGGTGGCCCAAGTGTTTAATAAGCCCCATTTCCAATGCCCTAACTTGGTAAATTGATCAAGGTTTACACCCTACCAATTTTAAATGTACTGTCAATATTTAGGATAAAAAAAAAAAAAAAAGAACATGACTTGGAACATTGAAATGTTCAAGACACAGGATTAATTATATCATAAGTTTTCAGGACAAGGACCTTCTACATCCCATTAATTATATCATGGCGCTCTAGAAGCTCTCCGAGCAACAATCAATCAATCACTCCATAGTATTTAAAACGACAATGTTAAAAGCACTGAATATGGTAATCACAAAAGGTACTCCAATCACGACACAAGACAATTTCATCTGTGAGATGCAAACTCTAACTGCAGCTACTGTTTAAGCAAGCACACATGGCATTTCAGAAACATGTTCACCAAGTACCTAAATCACCCTTTTTACTCCACCTATAATTATAAAAATCTTTTCAGCGTACTTCTACTAAACATAAAAATGAATACAAAATACGACGAGCTCATCTGAGCAAAGCTACCTCGTCCATGACCTAAAATAAGGATTAGGCACCATCTCAGAATGTTATCAATCCAATCATAAAAAAGCTTAGGTTCCCACTTTCCCACACACTGGATATCAAATTTCATCCGCAAACAAAATATTACTACAAAATTTTTAAATTTATGTCTCAGCAAGGTCAATTGAAAGATACAAGCAAGTTACTGACTTTGAATACTATAATTAAAAG